TAACCGATGTTTTTATCCTTTAAGATTCTATTTGCCCTCATGTATTACATGTACTTTATAGAAAAGTATCAAAGTAAAAAATATTAAAGAAAATAACAATTTTATGAGCATGTTAAAATTTAATATTATGTACAAAATTGTTCAAAATTTAGTTAGCCTATAAAAGAATTTCTCAGAGCTCCATAGTAGAGACATTATTACTGGATTATAGAATTAATTAATTGTAATTATAGAATTATAGAGACTTATTTTTTTCCTTAGATGAAGCTACTCTGAATAAATTAAACTGATAAAGCAGTTTAATTTATAAATTCACCAAAGATTAGGAACTCATTGCCAAAGCATTTGCTTAATATAAATATCTTATTCTTCAAAACATATACAATTGTTAGTTTTTAGGGTTTTTTTTCCTTTCTTTCTTTCTTTTTTTTTTTTTTTAAAGATTCCTGAAAATAAATAATAGTGTAATTAATAGACTTTTGGTAAGTGTGGAAGTTTTCATTTAGCTCCCTTTTATGCTGTTTTTTTTTTTTTATCATTTATTGCAATTTTGTGTTCAAATTCAGTATTAAATAATTTGTCTTGAAAATATGGAAACATGTAATACTACAACTTAGAGAAGTCCTTGTTTATGCTTGGGGGTCTACCCTTTTTATCTCCCCCCCCATATGTTATGTTTATTTGTTTGAACTGGGATAATAATCTACAACAAAAATATTTCACTTTTTGTTGTACTAGGCATTGAACCCAGGGCCCATGTACCACAGACGTGAAATTCACCTCTTTTTATTTTTTTATTTTGAGATAAGGTCTCACTTAGTTCCCCAGGCTAGCCTCGAACTTTGCAGTTCTCCTGCCTCCCAAATCTCTGGAATTACAAATGTATACCACCATACCCAGCTATAACTCACATTTAAGATTTTTTTCTTTATTTTTCTACAGCAAAATTTTGATGATCAACATGACATACTGTCCCACAGTTTTCAATTTTTCAGCATTTTAGGGGGTTTGGTGAATGAATGTCCCTTTATCATCATTGTGATTATTTCCAGTTAAGTCCCTAAGGTAAATTCTGATGTACATTTTTTTAGATGCTTGATACATATTTCCAAAATGTCCTCTAATAAGAGGGTTTATTTATATGCTTTTAAGTCTAAGAACACTTTTTTCCTGTATTCTGATCAATACCCTTAATCTTTGCTAATTCTATAAGTCAGAATTATGGTCTATAATTTCTATTTCTGATTACTTAATGAAAATGAATATTGTTCATATTACCTATTTCTTTTTTATGGATTGCTTATGCATGTTGTTCAATGACTTCCTATTGCTCTTTGATTTTTAATTAATTTATGAGAATTATTAAGAATATGTTGGGAAATGAATGTCAGTAGAGGGGGCAGAGAGAGAAGAGGGGAGGGGAGGGGGGATAGTAGAGGATAGGAAAGGCAGCAGAACACAACAGACACTAGTATGGCAATATGTAAATCAATGGATGTGTAACTGATGTGATTCTGCAATCTGTATATGGGGTAAAAATGGGAGCTCATAACCCACTTGAATCAAAGTGTGAAATATGATATATCAAGAACTATGTAATGTTTTGAACAGCCAACAATAAAAAATTAAAAAAAAAAAAAAGAATATGTTGGGGAGACTGAGGCAGGAGGATCTCAAGTTCAGGGCCAACCTGGCCAACTTAGCAAGTTCCTGTCTCAAAAAAAGTGGGGAGGGTGCTGGGGATGTAAAGTTTCCCCTACTTTTAACCATTTTCTTGTCATTCTTTTATGGTTTACTCACCCCAACTTCATCCAGCAGGGTTCTTCTGTCTTTCATATTATTACTTTTTTAAATTTAGTTTTTATTTTCATCAAAGTTATATATGCACATGATTTGAAGAGCCAAATCATTTTATTAGTTATGAAAAAGTGAATGTTCTAATTCACTTTCCCTTTTCCCCAGTTTTCCACACTTCAGAAGCAGTTACTTTCTTCCTTATGCTGTTTCTCTAGTATACTGCTCAATTTAAATAATATTATTAGTTATAATTCCTTGATATTTTTTAATTTTAGGAATTATCTGTTCTCATAATGGAAAATGAATGTTTAGACTTTCATTGCCCTTCTACATCCTACTTTATATTTCACTTTATATTTCACGGTGTATGCAACTTCTGTCCTGTCTTCTCAGTATGCCATGTAATGTTTGGGGGTAGGTTAATATTCTGGGTTAGATTAGTATTCTGGGGTTATTGTGACTTAGGTTAAAACATAGCTCAACCATGTAGTATATATTTACCTTTTTTTGCTTGCACAGTTTTTATTCTTTGAAGATCAAAATTATGTTTTCACTTGATTGCTTATTTTTTATATGATTATTATAATTCAGCTGCAACTGTAACTTGGTTGGCTAAATCTCCTCTTTGTATGTTCTGACCCACCAGTCTTCAGTGCTATATCTCCTTAGACCTGACCTCTTCCTCCCTGGTGTGTTACTCTTCCTATTAAATGCTAATCTGCCTTCTGGCATCCTGCTGATAGGTTTCTTTCCTTCCCTCTTGACTCAGATCTCCTTTGGTGAATTCCATGTTGGAGCACCTCTTCTAGGTACTTCTGAGGAAGGGTAAATGATAGGTGAATTTTCAGACATTGTTAGAAAATGTTTTTAGTCTGCCCTCATTCTTAAATAGTAGTTTGGCTGGATTTGAGATCGTAGGTTAGAAATTCTTTTCCCACAGGATTTTGAAGGTGTTACTACACTCACTGTCTTCTAGCTTCCTAAGTTGCTGTTGACAAGTTCTAAGACCTCTCAGATTCCTGGTCTATATATGTAATATGTTTTTCTTTTTCTTTTTAGAAGCTTTTATATATTCTCTTTGATCCCTGTCCTATGAAATTTTACAATGAAGCACCTCATCATTCTGGTCTTTCCTCCATAAGTTCCTTGGGTTTTAATGAACTCATGATAGTTTCTGATGAATAGTTCTACAGTCAATCAAGTCTTTGTTCCCCCATGTATAATGTGTTGATTTACTCTAAGTACTTCCAAGATTTTCTTTTAATATTTGATTTTCAGCCGTTTGTGATATCCGGAATGCATACTGTTCAGAGTTCACTAAGCTTCCTGGTTATGTTAAATTAATGTCTTTCTTTAAGTTCGGGGTGCTTTTGGTTGTTATTTCTTTTTGCCTCATTCTCTTGTTTCTTCATGAGACTCCAAATTACTTGTCTATTTGACCTTTAGATATTATACAAAGGTCCATAGGTTCTGTTCTTTTTTCTTTCTTCTCCTTTTTATATTTTTAATCTTTTATATCTGTCTTTTGTTGTGACTTACCTGTCTTCAAGTAATTTTAGAGGGTTTGTTTTGGTTTGTTTTTTAGTTCTAAGTTTCTGTTTGAGGGACTGGGGTTGTGGCTTAGTGGTAGAGCACTTGCCTAGCATGTGTGAGGCACTGGGTTCTATTCTCAGCACCACGCATAAGCAAATAAATAAATAAAGGTCCATCAATAACTAATAAAAATATTTTTTTAAAAGATTTCTGTTTGATTCTTTTTAAATATTTTTTTAGTTGTTGATAGACCTTTATTTTATTTATGTATTTGTATGTGGTGCTGAGGAATCGAACCCAGAGCCTCAAACATGCCAGGCAAGTGCGCTACCACTTAGCCCCAACCCCAGCCACTCTGTTTGATTCTTTGTTTACTAGTGTTTTGGTTTTCTGCTTGCATTTCCTATTTTCATTAATTACTTGCATTTATTTGTTGAGCATAATTATACCTTTCTTTTCCTTTTTCATCTCTAAATTCCACATACAAGAGAAAACATACAACCCTTGACTTTCTGAGTTTGGCTTACCTAACATAATATTCTCAAGTTCCATCCATTTTCCTGCAAATAGCATAATTTCATTTGTCTTTGTGGCTGAATAAAACTCCATTGTGTATATGTGCCGCTTTTTCTTTATCCATTCATCCCTTTATGGGCACCTAGGTTGGTTACACAGTTTTGTTTTGTTTATATTTTGTGCAGGCTTTGTGTGGTGTTAGAACATTGCCCCTTCGTATTGGAAGCAGAGCCTCAGTATTTTAGGTCATGGACTTTTCTTGATGTCTGGTGTCTTCAGGCCAACATTTGAAGCTCTGGATAGGTGAATGAGTCTTATTGACTATGAGCTTCTCCAAATGTGAGCACTGCTCATTTTACTGTACCATTTCAATGGTGACCCTCCAATGTCAGTATTTGGGGCTCTTGTTTCACTTCCTCTCTCCTGCCTGAAAGGTGAAAACTTCATTACTCTGCTATGATCATGGTGGAGGGATGAGAAAGAGAAAGAGGTCTCAACCTCTGTCTCCCTTCCCTCTTTATAGTAGGGTATATACACCTTGAACCATGGTTATTATCTTCTAGAAAAGAGAGGATGAAGATCTTATATTTTACCTTCTTTAAGGCTGGAGTAGCTGATTTATAGGCTAATTGTTACTGCAACACATATTTCACTAATTCCCCTGTTGTTAGACTCTGTGCATCCTCACTTTTAGGTATACCCAGTGCTACCAATGTCTCATACCTTTGGACATTATACAGCTTTAAGTTAGGCTAGGTCTTATCTGGGATTCTGCTTTCTTCTAATCAGATACCACTTTGCATGCTTTCCAGCTTCCAGAATGTTACCATTTCTGTTCTGTTTGTAGATTATTTGGGGGAGAGTGTTATGCCTTTTATTTACTTTTTACTAAACTAGATCGACAAATTAAATGTACATGTTGATTCATGATGCTTTCTTTGATTTTCTTTTTTCATTTTAGTCTTTTTTTCTTTATTTTGGTAAATAACATTAATGGAAATTTTTTTTCTGTATATGTCTGATTTTCTAATTTTTTGGTTAACTCAAATAGTTCATCATTTCCCCCCATTCATATAAAATGCTATTCATGAAATATACTAAGACATCATATATATGTTGGGCATATGTCTAGCCTTTCTGTTCTTTTTTTTTTTTGTCTTCATGGTAATGTGCTGACGTCTTAACATTGTTTAGAGGGAGGCACATCTCAAATAGTATGAATACCCAGTCATCACGCTCATGAACCGAAGGATCTTTTCTGTTCTTGATAAATACTTTTATCATTTTGCTTCCATATTATTCCAGATGAACTTCAGAATTATTCTTTAAACCTGTATCTGATTGTTTCCACCCCAACTCTAAAAAAATGTGTATGTATATATATATACACATTTACTTATCTCTAGAGGCTTATGATGGGATTTTTATTAGCTTTTATTAAGCAGGATAGGATTGACATCTCTGTAAAATTGAAGAACATATAGCCAGGCACAGTGGCACATGCCTGTAATCCCAGCAGCTCCAGAGGCTAAAGCAGGAGGACCATGAGTTCAGGTGCTTTGAACTTAGCATCTCATCAAAAGTGAGGTGCTAAACAACTCAGCGAGACCCTGTCTCTAAATAAAATACAAAATAGGGCTGGGGATTTGGCTCAGTAGTCAAGTACCCCTGAGTTCAGTCCCCAGTACCAAAAAGAAAAGTAAAAATAAATAAAGTATGTTCTTGGACTGGAACAGAACATTTGTTGGTGTTACATAGTGGTAAACAAAATACCATAGCTTCTAGTGTTGTGTTACCAATTCTGAGTATTTCTTTCTGAATTTGGTCCTAAGCATATTATATATTTGTGGTGAATGTGATTCTCCCTCTACCCCTTCTCCTCTGCCCCACCTATCCTGTCCTTTCTCCTCCCCTCCTCTCCCCTATCCCCTCCTCTTCCCTGCTTCTCTCTCCCTCCCTCCCTCCCTCCCCCCCCCCCCCCCCCCCCCCCTCCTGGTTACTGCTAAGAAACAAAAGAATTGTTCATTTCCCCTTAGTCCTTCTGAGGTCAACATTTCTTGTGCCAAAAATGTGTCACTCTCCTCTCCCAACCCCCACCCCTGGTCAGGCACACAGGTTTTTCCAGAGTGCCACCTGCTTCTTGTGGAGATTTGATAGTGACTCTGAATCAATGAGCCACTTTGACTCCTAAGGATTTCATTCCAAATATAGTGGTTGCAGAGGTTTAATTGCTATGCTGAAATTTGGTGTGGAAAATTTTATTTTATCTGATTTTTCTTTTAGACTTATCAGCCCTCAAAGTCGTCTTTGTTTTTGAGGCTCTTTGCATCTCCAGCTGTCAGTTTGGTTTTGTTCCCATTTAATTTCATGCCAGACTCTAATACAGAAATGAGGGCACAGTTAAAGGACCTGACTTAGAAGTAAGGAGAGATTTAAAAGAACTCACATAGTTCCATTTTTAGTTTTGTGTTCAAGAGCACTCCCTCAAAACAAAACTGATAGAAATGAGAAAATATTGTTCCAGTCATCCTGTACAAGTTTCATTTTTTTTAAACTCTTGTTACATCATAGCTGGCAAAACACTTCTCTAATTGTATGGGAATTTTTTTCCTATGGTGATGACTGAACTACATCATCACTGTTTATTAATTTCTCTTTCCCCAAAGGCTCTGCCATTTCCCAGCCTCACTGTGATTCATGAGTTCACTAGCTGCAGCTCCCTGATGACCAGAGCGTCTTGTCAGGAACACTGATCCTCCCTCTGTTCCTGCAGCGTCAATCATTCACTTGTGTAGGGGCTGGGGCGGTGGCTGTCATTTAATTAAATCTCAACCCTGTCTTCTGTCTCAAATCCTATGCTGCTTCTGCTGTATAATTACATGGCCAAATTTCTGTGGGTAAACTGTTACAGATCCTCAGATCATTGATTTATCAAAGTCATTTTGATACCAAAGTATAGTTTATGCCTCCACCTTCTGTTAGAGACAAGTTTCCAAACTTTATAGTGTCTGCTATTTGTCCCTAATTTCCCTTGTAAGTTTTTAGAAAACATTTCTGACCTACTGCAGTGAAATGTACCATATGAAAGCCATCAATCAGATGCATCTGGCTTCGACTCAGTTGCCAGCAAAGTGACTGCGGGAGATATTTGTTTCATTTTGTTTTTTTTTTAAGTTTCCTTAAGTATAAAATGGAAGTGATAATAGAAACTACTTCTTAGGATTATGGCGAGATTAAATGTGATAGTACATATCAAGCATGTGCTGGTGTCTGGCAGAGCAGACACTAAAGAACCTGCTACTGCTATTATTGTGGTTACTACAAATGACATCTGTAGAATGCAGACATCTAGCCCTTGGCTTTCATCTTATGACACAAAATCTTTTTGGTTTGCCTTCATGCCATTTCTTTCAGAACCACCCATTTCATTTGCTACTATAGGTCCCTTGGAATATTGCTCTTGAATATATGTTAATTTAAAAAAGAAGAAATAAACAAAAACAACCATAGTCATATTTCCACAGATGGCTGCATTATGGCATTTAGAATTCAGGCAATATTTTCAGACTTGTTTCTTTACTTTGCATGTTTCCGTCATTAGTGTCTGAGTTGGTCAGGTTTGGTTTTTGTTTTTTGGGTTTCATTTTTGTCTTTTGTTTTATTTTGCACATAAAAAAGTAAGATTTTAGTGAGAGGAAAAGAGAACTCACACAGAACAAGAGGTGACTCAGTAGGGTTGCCATGGTCAGGTTTTTATGTGTACTTCTTTGGCCGGTTTCTTTTTGTGGCTTTTTCTTTTCTTCAGGGATGTCAGGGTTATTTTGCCAGATAAAATTTTCTAAAGCCATCCCCACACAGACATCTACTCCTAAAATGTCTATCCTTTTCCTCTTACTAGTCATTTCACTTAATTCTAGAGATCTGATTTCCCAAATTCTGGGCTGTAAATTAGATTTTTGTCAAAATTTCTGGGCTTGGCTGTTATTGGATTTAGGATGACTTGGTCCTTTTATCACAAGGTTCTTATTAGTTCTACTTGACCAGTGAGTTTTTATTTATAGATCAAAATTGGATCCTGAGTAAACCCCCTTTTTAATTCATTTGTTGAAGTAGAGTAAATAGGAAAAATATTTATTTATTTATTTATTTATTTGGATTGAACCCAGGGGCGCTTGATCACTGAGCCACATTCCCAGCTCTTTTTATATTTTATTTAGAGACAGGATCTCACTGAGTTGCTTCGGGCCTCACTAGCTTGCTGAGGCTGGCTTTGCACTTGAGATCCTCCTGCCTCCGCCTCCTGAGCTGCTGGGATTACAGGTGTGTGCCACTGCACCTAGCCAAGAAAATAATTTTAAGAAGAATAAGATTGCTGCTATATCTTAGATCTGTGTTAATTTTAATCTTCACCATTAATGTTCCTTTTGTGTTCTCTCTCTGGAAGGACAGTAGCAATCTATCCCCATAACAGTTTCATTTCCTATTCTCTACCTCCTTACCCTTAACCCCACCATGCTATCTACCTCATTCCTTTACTATCCAGACAGGTAAATGCCTTTTTCCTGCTCTTCAGCTTTACTCCCTCACTTTATTTTCCACTAAACATTCTCCAGTCTCCCTAACCCCAATACACCTTAGAAATCTTTCCTATTATTTATCCCTACTTGCCTGGCAGTATATTACCTAGAAAACCTTGATTTTTTAGCCGTAAATTTGGAGGCTTTGCTGGTGTTTCTAAAGCTTTGAGAATCTGATAGGCTAGAATTGACCAGCTCATACATGAAAGGATGGCCTGGCAGTAGAGTTGCATTTTTAGTTGTCCTAAGCATCTTATATGAACTCTGGTTCCTTATTAGGAGCAGTGTTGAAAGTTGACAGTTGAGGCTCTTGTTTGTTTTTTTCTGATATTTTGATTAACTTTACTACAATATAAACTGGGAAATTGAGAATAAGTTGCATGGGCAACTTATTGGGAAACAGTGTTGGGGATCAATATTTTGTATTTATAATTCTTCTAGACCTCCTTAGTTTGTGGCTGATTTTTTGCTTTGTTTCAGACTTTTTTTACTGAGGTTGGAGGGGTGCATCTTACAATGCAGTTCTAAGTGTCTGCCCTGCTTCATATATAGGAGGTGGGATTCTTTCTAGACCACTGTCATTTGATCCAAATTTAGAAGTAAGACTTAAGGCTGTCAGGCAGCAGCTTCCTGCATTGTTTGCTGTTCTCCATTGAAGTCATGATTAACGCCTGGGCTTTCATTCGTTTGGGTCCCTTCAGATACACCTATGAGCGAATTGATGGGCGAGTACGGGGAAACCTGCGCCAGGCAGCCATCGACCGGTTCTGTAAGCCAGACTCAGACCGCTTTGTCTTTCTTCTGTGCACCAGAGCAGGAGGCCTGGGGATCAATCTCACAGCTGCTGATACCTGCATCATATTTGATTCTGACTGGAACCCACAAAATGACTTGCAGGTAACCATTAGGATGAATGTTCTTTACCTTAGCTGCCCTGAATCAGAATATCATGAGAGAGTCTGGGTCAGCTATAGATTATCTGCCTTGCTTCAAGCTGAGGTATAGGCCAGGACCTTGGTCAGGGCATGAAACCGAATGAAAAGTAAATGTTGACCCTTCCTGCTAATCAGAATGGTTCTGTCCTTTTGTTTTAATCAAATGTTTTATGGTAGCCTCCAAATATAGAATAGAGATGCTATTATTATTTTCTGACATAAAGATACCTCACATTTTCTCTCAATTTGTTTATGAGATGGTCATGTATAGTAAACAAGTTAACCCAAAGAGGTGGGAAAGTTCCATGGTGTGGCAGGTGTGACAGACACCCTCTCTCTCCATGTATTGTAGCATAGCCCAGTTAAGTGGCTTTGCAGATTCTATTTTCTGTTTTTAACCAAATTAAATGATATGCAGCTTGACAAGAAAAGTAAGAATACTTTTTGAAAAGTAAGCATAAAGAAACAACAAGAAAATGGCAGAGTCTGTTTAGAGTTCTTCGTCAATCCTATTTTGAACTAAACAATGCATTCTAACCAGATTGGGCAGTGAGTCGAACCAAAATGATTCTAATTTGTCAAGAAGACTATGTAGAATATAGATTTTTATCATATTGTATTGTTAATGATGAACATCATCCTAAATAGATATTATATCTTGGGGTGTTTGCTAACACTAGAATTGGGGGGGGGGGGGGAAATCAGGTAGCTCAAAGCCTTTTTCATAGACTAGATGAATTA